TTTCAAGAAACGTGCATAAGAGGGAATCTGTGTTATGGCATCAATGAAAGGAATGTTTATGTGTAATTGTTTAAATATTTTGAAGAACTTTTCAAACTCCCGATCCTGTCCATATTTCTTCAACCTTTGAGGAAAAGGAATCACATTAGAATTTAACTGAGAATTTAATTTGGGAGGAAGTGCATCAATATCAATGACAACATGATCATTTCGGCTTTCTTTCTCCCCTTCGATTGCTTGCTCCTTGTCTTTTTCACCACCTGAATTTTCAAAATTAGGTCCCTTAACCGTTTTACCGCTTTTAAGAGCGATTGCATTGACATGCTCTCTCGGATTCACTTCGATTTTACTCGGCAATTCACCAGGGTTTCTGTTGTTGATCATATTGGCAATTTGACCAACCTGAACCTCCAAGTTTCTGTACATCCCAGCCAATTGGTCCAACCGCTCCTCAACTCGCTCGAATCTATCCGAAGTCACCTTAGCAAGTTTTTCCACTGCGATCTCCCAACTTGGTTTAGTTTCAGCTTGTGGTTGCCTCGGTTGAAATCCGGGCGGATTAGTTGGCCTTTGTTGTTTGCCTTGATCTTTCCATCAAAATTTTGGATGATTTCTCCACCCTGGATTATAGGTATTGGAGTATGGATTGTTTTGGGGTGGACGGTTATAATTGTTGAGATATTGAACCTGTTCGCTGCTAGAACACATAGAATCATCATGGTCTCCTCCATAGTTAGTACAACACGCAACAACTACTCCTTGGTTAGAACTAGAACCAACTTGCCCGTTAAACATTTTAACCACATTATCCATCTTTGCACTTAACATATTCAAGGTATCTACTTCAAGCATACCTGCGGTTCTCCTTGTATTACCTCGTTCGTTAGCCCATTGGTAATTATTAGCAGCCATTTCTTCAATCAATTGTTGAGCTTCCTCGGCTGACTTTTCCATTAACGCTCCTCCCGCTGCCGCATCTACATGCGTCTTTGGTGGATAGGTGAGACCATTGTAAAATGTTTGGACTATTAGCCAATCAGGGAGACCATGTTGAGGACATCTTTGTTGTTATTCCCGATAGCACTCCCAAGTTTCGTACAATGTCTCTCCTTCCTATTGAGAGAAACTAGTTATATCCATTCTAAGTTTAGCAGTTTTTCTAGGTGGAAAGAATTTATTAAGAAAAGCCTTAGCTAATTCAGCCCAAGTAGTAAAAGTATTTGGAGGATGAGATTGTAACCAAACCTTGCCCTTATCCCTTAGCGAAAATGAAAACAATCGAAGTTTAATTGCATCATCACTAACACCATTAAACTTAATTGTATCACAGATTTCAAGAAATGTTGACAAATGAGAATTTGGATCTTCGGTAGCATTACCTCAACATTGAGATTGTTGAACCATTTGAATCAGTGATGGTTCAATCTCAAAATTGTTAGCATTTACCGTTGGTCTTGCGATGCTAGTTTGAGATCCTTGTATCTCCGGTAAAGCAAAATCTCGTAGAGCTCGTCTCTTTGATTCGTTTTCCTCCATTTCTTCCTCAAACGGTAACTCTATCAAAATTTCCTCTATCGCTTGCCAAACCTCTTGTTCCTCTTGATGCAGTATATGCCTCCTTTATCTCCATAGTGTCCTCTCAATTTATGGATCTAAAGGTGCAACTTCTCGAGATGCCTAGTGCATGCACTACAAACAGAAATACGAGAGATTATGCAGTTTTAATTGTCAAAAACTGACTATAAACTGCTCAACTAATAAAAATAAAGATGTCTAAATTAATAGAGATGATTAGACTCTAATATTGCCGCTCCCCGGCACCAGCGCCAGAAACTTGACAGATTTTTATTACAAATGCAAGTTAAATCAGAATTTATACCCATTTGACTGTAAGTATATAGGCCAAAATCATAATGTAGGGTATGTATCGGGTCGATCTCACGAGAAGCAACTTCAACAATTACTAGATCCTAATTTACTCTATTATTTAGACTCACAATATATTTGAGCAGAAAATTCAGAGTTAAATCTAACTACAATTTTTTTACTATCTAAAATCCTTAGCTAGATAATTGCAATATCACAATTGGAGAAACATTCACCAAATATTTGAATCTAGGGATGTAGATTCCACTTATGACATAAATGATCCAAATGAATGAACTTAACACTTGTTACTACTCTTATTTAACCAGGGATTTATTTCCAAAATTGCCAAAACTTCATTCTCATGATAAAATTGGTCTAAAACAGCTTAGTTTCCCTAATCTCTTGGTGAAAACTGAAACTGCTCTTGTTCATGCATGAAATGCAGATTTAATCCACTTGAGTGTAATTCTATTCTCATGAATTAACAACTCAAACTCCACTCATGTTATTCCATTGTTTTTACCATTTCTCAATGAGTAATAACAATTATAAACCTGCTATTGGTGATCAAACAACAACAAGTAATCAAGCATACACAAGTAGACAAGTCAATACAAGATACAACAAGTGTAAATCACATTCAATTCATATCACTTGGCCATAAGTTTCATCTACTCCTTAGATATAGAAATTTAGCTACTCATTGATGATATCATAATCAAACTCATAACTTCATTAATGGAAAACATCTCAGTTTACAAGTACAAGAAAGATAAAGAAAAGTTTAGCCAAGTAATGGTGAAGCCCTCCAAGAATCTCCTATGTCTTGTACTAGATGATTACAAGATGAAGCCTCCAAGTGTTTCTGTAAAATTTACTAGCTAGAGAAAGTTTTTCTATCAGAAAATCTGGCTACGTATCATGTTTGACCTCCCCTTGTTTCTCTCCATAAAAACAGCTCAAAAGCTCCTTTTCCACTGGTCAAATTTCCACCCTTTGATTCCCAAATCTGAAGTTTGTTAAGATAGTCAATAACCAATGTTTTTGACTTGAAAATAAGCCTATTGTCTGCCCTTTTGTCTACTGAAGCACGTGCACCAAAATCCCTGGCAACTTATAGCTGGAAAGTAGTCTGAACACAAGAGAAATGGCTGAGCAAATTGCCGATTTTCGGCTACAAACGTGACTACACAAAACGCGGCATCAACTCGCGTTTTCAACTTGGCCTTGGTTCAACTACGATTTTCTCTATGATGAAGGGCAAACTAGCTTTTGTACAAAACACAAACGTTGTAGCCCTTTAAGGTAGCTTTTCAATGCTTCAGGAATCATCCAAATCGAAGTTCTGTAGCCTGAGATATGGTCGAAATACTATCACCTGGTCAAACCCCTGTTTCAATTTCCGACCACAGAATGCAGCTTTTGTATTTCGACTTTTTGTCCATGAAAACAGTAGAATTGGATTTCGATGTCTTCATACCAATTGTAGGTCTCTTTCTTAGCTTTAAAATGGTACAAAGATCACCTCAATCCGATAGGTGTAGCTCGAGATATAGTTGAAATACCGAAGAATGTCAAAACTGTCTTGAATTGCATTTCCTCACTTGAACGTTTTTCACTTCATTTCTCTTTTACCCACTTGAATTCATCACCAATTAACTATTTTTCACCTCACTTGACATTATTTGGTGATTGAATCATTAATCCTGCATAAAAATGAAGTTTTTACCACTAAAATCAATGAAAATGCAATATTAGCCACTTTTATCAAAAAATGTATATTTTTACCAAAATCTAGTTATTTTAGTTATAAAACTAAATAATGAAACCAGAATTAACTACTAAAATGCACTAAAAAATACGTAAAATAAACCCTTATCGAGTTTCATAATTATCACTTCAAATCTCATAATTCGAAATCCAAAAGTGGTACTAACTATATAAGCCAAATCTATGTTTGTTAAACCTCACTTCAGATGGCCCAATGAAAAGCCTAAATCCTTCGCTTTTCTGATTTAAATGAAATCAAATTTAAACCTATGGTTTAGTACTCGTATTCTTTTGTACCCAAACAGCCTTTTGACCTTTCAAAAAATTACCAAAAATACTACAAGTTATCTTCTGCTTGATTAGAATTATGTCAAGTAATCAAGAGAGTCAAGTCACATAATCGATTTTGTTGTCTAGGTTCTATTTTTCTGTTTTAGTTTTTTTATTCTAACTGCAAAAAAAGTTCCTAATCGCAATACTACTATGATTGATCATGGAAGTCTATTGTTTGGATTGCATTTTCTGGAAAGGGTATGTTGTAACACTTTTTTAGATGTGATTTATATGAAGTAAAAAGATCACTGAAAAATGTATCAAGGAAATATTCCCAAAAAACATGAGGTTTTTGTCTAGAGAATGGCAATCCAAAAAAAGCCAGTATATTGGCATACTATTGCACATTGACCTCTTTCTACAAATATATTATTTTTTATAACTTAAACTATCCAAAAAAAAAGATCTCTAATCAAAATATTGAATTGTTATGTTCAAACTTGTTATAAAACAAGAAAAAAAAATGAAAAAGTTCAATCTTTAAAAATATTACCTAACAGAACACAAACACGACTTGAATTAACTTATTTCATTTTACATACACAACAAGGTATGTAAGAAAATGTACTGCAATTACAGGTAACAAAGACACCAAGCTGATTTCTACACTTTACACCTCTTAGATGCAAGCAGGTTTCCCATTGAGATAGTTCAGATATATGAAATTGGATGAATCAATCAGATCATGTATAAAAAAAAAAGAAAAAGAAAAAAGAAAAGATGGTGAAGAAATATCATGCATGCTGATTCTGCACAAGTTCAGTAGCATAAGTATATAAAAGCCATAGGCTATTATCTTCAAGAATTACATTTCATTAAACTGCAATTTCTCTACTAATAATCATATCAAACAATTATGTCAGAATTGCTCCCAAACTCGAGTATTCTGCCCCTAGACCATCTGTTGTGCAATCAATTTCTGATTATCCTTATGCTAATTGTCACTCTTTTAACCAAGATTTCATAAACTAACACAACTATCAAGATAGAACCTGGTTAGCAAAAAAGTTGTAGAAAGAAGCATTCATCTAAGATCAAAAGTGCTAAAAGTCAATCAAATTTTGTAAAAAATTAATGAAAAGAAAAAGTAAGTAATGACAATAGATCACCACCAGCAAGAAAACAGTTTCGATGAGAAAACAGTTTACATAGCATAGCCAGCAAGAAAAGATTATCTATATTTGACACATAATTCTCCTGTCTCCATAGGAGGATTCAGAAGGATTCTCATCTTTAAAAGTCAATAGTTCGATTGGTCGCAGATATTTCTGTTGTCATGGAATTCTTCAGGTTTCAATCAGCAATCAGGATATAAAAGTCTTCTATACTTGCAACTGATGGAAGTAGAAGAATACAGATAGTTATTGATGCATATGAAAATAACATGAGATTTGGAGAATATGCAAGGTTGTCCACTGTAGGAGTGATATATCAGATCTCTATGTTGGTAGTTTGAAAAGGAGAACTGGTACAAAATAGTATCCCCATGGACGCAACGGTTTCTAAATTTCTTCCTCCCTACTCCTGTTCTAATTTTCTGCACCAATTGTATCCTAGAGCCCTATTTAGTGCACAAATTCAGCAACTCACTATTCCAACAACACAGAGCATGCTTCAAGCTTAAGACCCATGCCCAGATAACAAAGCTCTTCCCCAACTTTTGAAATCCATTAGAAGTACACTAAAATAGCTTCTGACTTATACAGTCTGCTGATCAGTAAAAATGTCCTGGACTCTTTTAACTAATAGTCTTAAAAGCTGCAAACTCATTCATACAAAATTTGAACACAAGCTTTTAACACTGAATGTTATTTGACAGTGGGGAAGATAGGTTCAACTCTTACTATCTCATTGGTGTATATTCAAGGACAGGAAAAGAAAATAACCACATGCAATGGAAGATGAGAGTAAAAAGTCAGGAAGAAAGCCACATATGACACAAAGGTTTAGGACATCACTTCCAAGACAAAGATGCATAACAAATTCACCAATGAATAACTTAAATAACTCCTTCACGGATGGCCTAACAAACCTGGGTATGTGTACAATAGTACATGCAATATGTACTGGGCTTCAGCACAGCCCTGGGGACTAGAATATCTTATGACAGGAAATTGAGGTGACGAATCCCAACATTTCAATTAAAAGCCCTTCCATCAAACTCAATGAATAAGCCTATGGTCTCAAACAACGGCCGAAGTGTCCTTCACTGTCAGTTTACCCAATACCCATAACACGTAAAATACCCATAAGCTACTAAAGCACCATAAATTAAGTATACTGAAATATGTAGAATTTAAATTGTTAATAAATACTCGAGATCCTAAAAAGATTACCCATTCTTCAAAATGGGTAAATTGGATCTTCAGCCAAGTTCCCAAGAATATTAAAATTTACTCTTCCCTTAAACTCTTCATTGGTTGCATCAGTCGTGAATATTGATGGCATTCATAAAAAAAAATGGAACACATAATGTATCAATATATCAACATCAGTTTGAAGCCCTAAGAAAACATTCAGCACACACAGCTTTTATAAAAACTCAATGAAGTCAAAAGAATAGAATCTTGCAAGCACCAGATGCACACCTCCCCATTCTCCAAGTTGGTTCATTATTTGTCCTCCATTTGCAACAAGAGAGGTCAAAGAAATAAGAATGATACAAGCTTTGGAGAGGACTTCAAATATAACTGAAACTCATTCATTTCTTTCACATAGGGATAAGCCTCGGCAACGCTTGGCTTCTGGTGTAAATATATCCAAAAACAATACCAAACAAGTTGTCTGCCACAAGATTTTAAGCTAACTCTAAATTTTCCACTTATTATTTGGGCCCTAGAAGCGTGCAACATCTCATGCCTATACAAGTCCCTTTAGGTATGAGTGAAAGACAATTATCTAAAGCTACTGCAATGAAGAATGCCTTTTTAATGTTAAGAGCAAACTGAAGCTTATATATCTATTTCTTGAGAACTCAAAATAGATGATTGGCAATCAGCTATATATTTCATGCATATAATATCTGAGGTCTCAAATGCCTAACAAAATTGGAATAATGGTCTTCTCCTTCCAGAAATATGATCGCTTAAGACCATGTCATTCTTTAGAAAAATAGAACGATACACTTATTAAATTGCTTTTATATTTAAAAATTTTTTCTTATGGCAAAAAATATTGCATATCTTTGATCTATTGTTTCTGATTTATTTTCAAAGAAAACAATGCAAAGGTTCAGTATTAGTAAGGTGAATTTGTGCCTAACTTGTATGAGTTATGTGCTCAAGCTTAAGCTAAGGTTACTATGTATCCATAACCCTCTTCAAATTCAAGGAAATTGGTAACTCATATGTATATATATATACTGGAAAGCTGTGAGTGATAAAGAATTTAACCAGTGATGCATTTTGGATGTCGAATCTTGTCATCTACTCAAGAAGGCACAGCAGACTTAAGCAGTCACTCGATTGAACCAAGTGACAAACGACAGAGTGTAAGCAAAAAAAGTTGAATAAGACTTGTAAACAAGGACTAAACCATACTAATCTGTGACCTAAAAATGCACTGGCTACAAATAAATGGATGAAGTGGAAAATCATATGCAAAAAAATTTGAAACCAGCTACTAGACTCATATGTTAATAACCTACTGGCAGGATAATTGACATCTTATCCTTCTCTTTGTCTGCAAACGGAAATCTTAATCATATTTAGAACCCAAAAATCATAAACGTTTTTCCTAGACTAAGTTCAACAGATGCAAATAGTGTTGTGTGCATAATTTTGCCATTATTCTCGCAAATGAAGACCATTAGCATTACTCTTCATTTCCAAAAATTTATCATGTTTAAAACGGTAAACAACTTTGGTTTGTTTGTTCCCCCCCCTCTTAATACCTAATGCATTTGAACAACACAACATGCCTGTGCCTATCTTCTGCATAGCTCACCCAGTTCTCCAAACTTCATCAGTTTTATCAATTAGTCGCCATCCCATTCGCTGTTTACTTATGCTTAATCATTCAAACATCTCTTTCTTTGGAAACCAATTCCATAACAATGCTACTCTTCATCTCAAACCAAAACAATTACAGCAGCAAACACATTATACCAGTAATTCAAGTCCGCTATACCCTTGTTCACTTACAAATACCCCAAGTTCCCAACCTTGCCCAGAATTTAAGAATCCCATAAAACCAAGTTCACTAAACCAATTTAACCGTCCTGATTCTCAAGTCAGCATGAATTTTCTTTATATCTAAAATTTCCTTATTTTGAAATTATTCCAGAGAACTGACAAGAGACAAAACCAGCAGAATTCATTACCTTTTCAAGAATTGACATGGCTTCTTGTGTTGCACTCTTCTCCCTCTCTACATAACAAAGGAAGCACTTTTATCAATCACCACACTGCCCAGACTATCCCAAACAATCAAATTGAAAATTTTCAAAAACCCAGATGCAAATTACATAACTAAATGCCAATAAAGTACAAAAATAACAAAAAAAAAAGAACATAACTTTCTGGACAGAAGAGATGGGATGAGAGGCCTTACTGATGGGACAGGTGATGAGGAATCCGGAGTGGGAATGACTGAGGAGAGAAGAAGGGGCGTTGTAGTCAAAACGAGGAATGGTGATGACAGTAGAGTGCTGCTCCCAGGGCTTCAGCTCCTCCTTGGTTTTCAGTTCCACTTTCATTGCTTCTTTTTCCAATTCTTTTGCTCTTTCTTTTGTTTTTGCTGTCCCATGTTTCATTTCCAGTATTATTGAGTTGCAATTTGTTTGGCAGATGAGATCTATATTTATATTTCGCCCCCTCTTTTGTATGGCAAATGAGTTTTTTTACCCTAGTTCTTCCACTTTACTAATAAAATGTGATTTATTCTAAATATTTTAGACCCTCTTTGATAACCCAATTCAGTATTTAAACTTAATGGATTCAGATTTGATGTCTTCAGACGCATTGATAATAAAAAATAGAATGTCTAAATTAATTAAGTGATATTGAATTTCTTAGGTAAAACTTGCTCTCAAAATAAAATATTAAATATGAAATTTGAATTTATTAAGTTATTAAATTGTTAAGTATTAAATGTGATACATTTGAGTATATATCATATTAAGTGATAAATGAATAACATCACTTATTTTTTGAAACAAGTTTTACCTAGAAAATCGGTGTCATTTTATTTTTTGAAGTAAATTTTGGCTAAAAAATTCAGTGTCATTTAATTAATTCAGATGTGTAATTTTTTGTTATCAAATGCGTTTAAATATGTTAATATATGAATCCATTAACTTTAACTGTTGAATTGAGTTAAAACAGTGCTTAATACTTCACAATTCAACAACTTAACTTAATGAAATTCAAATTTTAGACTTCAGTTTTCAAACTTTAATTTTATCAAACGCACCCTCCTATTACCCAAATTCTACTAAACAAAATTTTTCTACATATTACCACCCTCACAATTCACAAAGTCATTTTAATAATTGAATCTATTAACTGATGTCAGTCGGTTTGGATCATTTTGTGATATCAAAGGTGAAAAAAATCACATGTGTGCACAAAAATAAAACCAAAAAAATGGTATAGATTTTTCTTTTGAAAAAATGGAGAGTTGTAGTTGCAGTCTCCAATTTTTAACATTTGCACTAAAATAATCTCTAATGTTTTGATCAAAATAAATTTGGTTCTCAAAGTTTTTGGTAGTAGGTACATTCAACATTGTCGAAAACTCAACAATGACTAACTGTCAAAATTTAATTACTGTTATTTAACAATTTTGACTTTGTACTTTTGGACCCTAATGTTTGAAATTTTAATCATTTTAGTTGCTTAAATTTTCAATAGTGATATCGAGGGTATTAGGATAAAACAAGATGCGAATTACAACACAATTGTCTTAAATTGGTACTAGCAATTCTAATTAAACTTTTTTTTACTGCATTTATTCATGCCACTAATGTCTCATATACTTCTTCCCTTTGGTATAATTGGTCACAAATTTGGTATTATATATGTGATTATTGATTTATACAAGCAGTAATTAACTGATAATTCACCCATAATGAGTAAAAGCACTTCATATTAGTTTTTATGTTTGCTAGTTTTTATAATTACAATTCCTAACTATAACAATTTAAGGCCTATATGTACAAGTCATGCAAGAACTAGCATGAATGATAATAAATTTTATATTAATACTAGAATTTTCCTTTTTATTTTATATATTATGTATATATTGTCATTTGATTGTGACTTATTCAAAAAAAAATCTTCAAGTTCAACGATGTTATTATGTTGCTATAAAGTGTTTTTATGAAATTTTATAGCAATTTTGGACGACATTTGTCATATATTTAATTCAATTCACACCTTTTTTTTTCATTTTAAAACCCCTAACTATAACTAGAAACTTAAGAGACCATATTGATTGAAACTTCAAACATTGGGGACTAAAAATGTAAAGTTAAAATCAGAAAATTTAGAGACCAAATTTGTTTTGGCTGATATATTATGGACCAATTTGATATATAGGTCAAACATTGAGAGTCAAATTTGTGTCTCTCTTTGGAAAATTTTGAGAAGTAGTAATAGAAAGATTTAAAATTCAGTATAAGTTTTGGCAAATTCACATATTCCTAATATCTAATAAAACACATGTCATGATAAAAAAATACCAAATTAACCTATCCAACCAAGCAAGCTCCCACTCTAATCATCTGATCCCCAAATTCCCTTTCTTACTCATTTCGAGAGGGAAATGAATTAGCACAAAAATCTGAGGCAATCCTTCTGGGACTATAAATGGGGCGAGGTCAGCTTGAAGTTGGCTCCAAGAAAAAGTCTGATGGGCCTGACCTTTCATTGAGTTGGATTGAAATTGGGTCTGAATATTAGTTCGAAATTAAATGTGAACAGAGTTTGGACACTATTAAGGTCAAACCCGATATAGGCTCAACCCATTAATATGCATATATATATAATATTCATATTTTGATATATATAATTATATATCTAAATTTATAATACTAATACTTATGAGTTATTTGTCAAAATATATTAATATATATAAGGAATATTAATATACAAAATTATGTCAAAAGATTTTTAAGGACAAATCTTAGTACAATCAAATTGAGGACCTTTGAAGATATATTGACTGTTGATCATATTTTATTACTATTTTCCATGTACATTGAATTAATTGGATACATTATTGTTGAAAATTTCTTTGGTTTATATATTTTTTAATGAACTATTATCGATTCTTGTATAGTTTTAATGTTGTGGTCCTGTGGATATTAAATTAGTTTAAAACTTAATAATTATAGTAATTATATTAAGGAAATTAAGGAATTATAAGTGATCTTAAGTTAGGTCTAAATTAAACTCACAATTTGAATATTTTGTGAGTCAAGTATGAGTTTTACATTTATCAATCCAAAACTCATAATTCGAAACCCGAAAGTGATACTAAGGCTCCGTTTGATAAAACTGAATCTGAATTCTAAATTCTGAATACTGAAACAATTAATTTGCTGAATATTAAGCACTGAAAAGAGACATATGAATATCTAAATCTTAATGCTGAACATATTTATACTGTTTGATAAACATTTATAACTTAATGCTTAATAAGCTAAATTGTACAATTTTGCCCTTCTATCTTTTAATACAAAAAGGAAATAGAACCTATGATTTAATTAGCTTAAAATTGTTAGGTATGAAAATGACAATATTTATTTTTAAATCAAAGTAATATAAAAGAAGAAATATATTATGGAAAAGTCCAAATATCGGTGCAAATATATTTTTAAATCAGAGTTTGATAAGAAAAGTCCAAATATAAGCAAAAGGAAGCAAAAGTCCAAATATAAGCAAAAGGAAGCTGCAATAAACAAGTTTTAAATTCACACCAAATTATATAGAAATTTAATTACTTCAATGGAAAAATGTTGAAGCAAAACAACAAATAATCAATGTCACTCACCTTGGAAATAATGAATTTGAGATCGATGAGTATGGTAGCAATAAAAAAAATTGGGAGGAAAAAATGACAAAATTATAAAAGAGTAGAAAGATGAAAAAAGATAAAGAGTAGACAGATGTGAGGAGCATGGAGAAATTGTAAAAAAGTCATTAAATAGGGAGAAAATAGAAGTAGAAAGCCATTAGACAGAAAATATCAGGTTGTTTAATTAGATAAGGATTTTGAATGTAATTAACAAACAAGGATAAATTTGGTAGATAAGATAAAGTAGTTGAAGTAAATCTCTTGATTCTTATCAAATTAAGCATTCAGTTACGATTCTTGTGCTGAAAAAAATACATACAAACTCAGCACCACTTAATAAGTTCAGCAAAAAAATTTTTATTTATCAAACACCCAAAACACCCAAAACATCTGAATGTCTGAATGAATTCAGTTTCAGCACTTTTTTATGTTATCAAATAGACACTAACTATAAAAGCGGAACCTAAGTTTGTTAAACCTCGCTTCAAATGGCCCAACTGATAGGCCTAAATCCTTCCCTTCTTTTGATTTAAATGAAATTAAATTTAAACCTATAGTTTAGTACTCATATTCTTTTGTACCCAAACAGCCTTTTGACCTTCTTTTTTTTTTTTTGGTATTAACCAGAGGTGTTCGCATCCGTTTTACGGTCTGCGACTAATCCTATTCGAACCACGTCGGGCCCTTTGTAGGGGAAAGCTCTCCCAACGTTGTTTTTTCCATCCCCATGGGTTTCAAACCCAATACCTCATGGTTAAGGGATGCAAACGCCTTCCACTTGTACCAACATCCGTTGGTGCCTTTTGACCTTTGAAAAACATTACCCGAAATACTACAAGTTATCTTCACCTTGATTAGAATTATTTCAAGCAATCATGAAAGTCAAGTCACATAATCAATTTTGTTGTCTAGGTTCTATTTTTATTTTTTAGTTTTTTTATTCTAACTGTAAAAAAAGGTTCATAATCGCAATACTAGTATGATTGATCATGGAAGTATATTGTTTGGTTGCATTTTTTGGAAGGATATATTGTAACACTTTTTTAGATGTGATCTATATGAAGTAAAAAAATCATTGAAAATGTGTCAAGGAAATATTTTCGAAAAACATGAGATTTTTGTCCTGAGAATGGCAATCCAAAAAACGCCACTATATTTGCATACTACTGCAAATTGACCTCTTTTCTACAAATATATTATTTTTTATAACTTAAACTATCCAAAAAAAAAAGATCTCTAATCAAAATAGTGAATTGTTATGCACAAACTTGTAACATATATGCTTCTAATAAAACAAAAAAAATAATGAAAAAGATCAATCTTTAAAAATATTACCTATGGAAGATAGAAGCAATAGATAAAATTTAGGAATTCTTCCAGACTTGTGGTTTTCAAATATCATTGATTTCCTCCAGTTTCACGTGATCTAGTAGGCCTTTGCAATTTTAATCTTTTGCCATTTGTAGAAAATGTACAATGGTAGGGAAAGAATGGTTTTAGTAGTGACGAAAAAGGCAAAGGAACTCTTTTATAGCAATCGTGAAGCCTTAGGGCAATTGCAGTAGTTGACGAATAGACACAACTGATAAATGGGCAATATTGCCTCTTTATGCAATAAAAAGAAAAGAAAGAGTGCGTGAGACTTTTTTTTTGTGGGAATGCTAATATTATTTGCCTTTTGAAAA